GCGCAAGATAGCGAAGACAGTAGCGATCACGGCGGTCCTGGAGAGACAGGAAGCCAGTGTCAACATACAAGCTAAGGACGGGAGTCGAACGAAAGGCACCAGAACTGAGGCGCAACCCAGTATGGTGCAAAGCATCAAGACGGCGAAGAGTAGAAGGAGAAGCAGACGAGTAAGCAGGGCAACCATAATCGAGCTTAGACAGGACGAGAGAGGAATGTAAAGCAAGGAGAGTGGCCTATCTGCCCCCCAAGAAGTATGGGACAAGACCCGAAGGAGGGTAAGGGCCTTAGAGCACTCAACACGGAGGTAAGAGATATGGGGAGACCAAGACAAATGAGTGTCAAGGAATAACCCCAAAAGCTTCGCGGAATCTTTGTATTCAAGGGGATGACCATAAAGTGACAAAGAGGGACGAAGAACAACCCGTTTCCGCGTAAATGTCATGGCACAAGTCTTAGAAGTAGAGAACTTGAAGCCATGATCAGTGGCCCAAGACGACACGGCATCAATTGCAAGTTGAAGCCGGCGTTGAAGGAGAGGCGAATCATCACCCTGACAACAAAGGGTAAGATCATCGACATAGAGAGCGGAGAAGACACCAGAAGGAAGAGAGGAAAGAAGACCATTGAGGGCAACCAGAAAAAGAGTAGTGCTCAGAACACTACCCTGGGGCACACCTTCGTATTGCTGAAAAGAGGGAGAGAGAGCGGTACCAAGGCGCACCCGAAAGGAACGACGAGAGAGGAAGCTGCGGAGAAAGAGAGGGAGATGACCACGAAGGCCAAAAGAATGAAGTTGAGATAGGATATGATAACGCCAAGTGGTGTCGTAAGCCTTTTCCAGGTCAAAAAGGACGGCAACAACGGAGGTCTTCGCAGCAAAAGCAGTACGAATATAGACCTCCAAGTTCACCAGGACATCTGTCGTGCTGCGGCACTTGCGGAAACCAAATTGAGAAGGGGAGAGGAGGTGATGGTGTTCCAGGAACCACATCAGACGAACGTTAACCATACGTTCAAAGAGTTTGCAGACACAACTCGTGAGAGCAATAGGGCGAAAGTCCTTAGGGGAAGTACCCAGAGACCCCGGTTTGCGAACAGGGAGGACAACGGCATCGAGCCAGTCCTCAGGGACTGACGACGACTCCCAGATCCGATTATACAGACTCAGTAAATACTGAGACGTGCTCGGAGGGAGATGGCGAAGCATCTCATAATGAATACCATCGGAGCCCGCCGCCGTAGAACCGCAGAGGGCCAGGGCAGAACGAAGTTCAGAGAGAGAGAAGGGATCATTATAGGGAAGCTGAAGATGAGTGCAGAAATCTAAAGGACGAGACTCAAGGACAGGTTTACGAAGAAGGAAAGATTGGGGAAGATGAAGACCAGAGCTAACAGAAGAAAAGTGGGAACCCAGTTCGGAAGCGACCTGCAACGGGTCCGCCACAAGAGTATCATGGAGGTGAAGGACCGGTGAAACATCGGGAACGAACTTACCCGCTATCTTGCGGATACGCTTCCAGATCTGGGCCAGAGGGGTTTCGGACGTAATTGTTGAGACATAAGATGCCCAACATTCACGTTTAGCCGTACGGATGGCCCTACGGGCCACCGCACTCGCTTTCCGAAAGAAAAGAAAAGAATCGGTCGTCTGCCTACGGCGGTGCCTCTTCCAGGCTGCACGCTTACAGCGGACAGCCCGAGCACAGTCCGCATTCCACCAGGGAACGCACTTCCGTGGACCCCGAGAGGAAGAGCGAGGAATAGAGCGGAGGGCAGCGTTGAAGACAGTGTCATGAAAAAGGAGGAGAGCGCGAGAGAGAGGCAGAAGGGAGAGGTCAGAGAGAGCAGCACTGAGGGTAAATAGGGTCCAGTCTGCCTTAGCAAACTGCCACCTAGGGATAGAGAGGGAAGGGCGAAAAGAGAAAAAGGAAACAAGGATGGGGAAATGATCACTTCCATGGAGGTCATCAAGAACCTGCCACGTGAAATCTAAGTAAAGAGAAGAAGAGCAGAGAGAAAGATCAAGACAAGAAAGGGTGCGAGTCCGAGAGTCCAAATGAGTGGGCTCACCAGAATTCAGAAGAGACAGGGAAGAAGATAGGAGAAACGGCTCAAGGAGGCGACCCCGGGTATTCGTCAGAACGTCACCCCAAAGAGAATGACGACAATTGAAGTCACCCAGCAGGAGCACAGGCTCCGGCAAGGAGTCTAGGAGGTGTTTCAAATCAGGAAGAGAGAGCGGGACACTCGGGGGGAGATAAATGGAACAAACTGTGTACCATTTCCCCACAAAGATACGAGCAGCAGAACAATGGAGAGGCGAAGGAAAAAGTAAAGGAACAAAGGGAACATCTGCACGAATCAAGAGAGCAGAAGAATTAGAAGCCCCAGCAATGGCTGGGGGGGGGGAGAGAAAGGAATAGCCACGAAAACGACCAGGACGAGCACCAAGCATTGGCTCCTGGAGACAGACACAAAGGGGCGAAAACCGCGAAATCAGAAGTTGGAGTTCGAGGAAATTGGCGTAATAACCTCGAACGTTCCATTGAAGAAGGGACAACGACGAGAAGAGAAAGGACAAAAACAGAGAACAAGGAAGAAACAAAGGCGAAAGAGCAACAGAGCACGTTAAAGAATATCAGGGTCGGGATCAGGGTCAGCAAAGTCAGGGTTAGGGGGCATGGGTAAACTGAGCAAAGACGGAGGGAAGGAAACGGGAGAACAGATCAGAGGTGGGCGGGCGGGGTCCGGAGGAGGAGGAGGAAGAGGAGGAGACAACGGAGAGGAGCAGTCAAGGACAGCAGTAGGAAGAGGGGGAGTAGAAAGAGGGGAGCGCACCCCAGCAAGAGCAGCAACCGAAAGGGAAGCAGGGGCCAAAGAAACCTCCATAGCAGGAACAGGGGGTGCAACCACTGAAACGGGAGGGGAAGGAGCAACAGAGCCAGAAGTAGGAGCTAAGGAAGAAAGCGAAGCCTTCTTACCCGCCGGGGAAGAGGAAGGAGAGGAGCCAGGCTTACGCTTCTGACTTAAAGAGACAGGTGTCCCAGCAACTACGTACCGGGCAACGGATTCCAGTGTCTCAACAGGAGAAGCCGAACGAGAGCACACACGACGGCCGTTAGGAGAGCGATGGACATCCGCCTGCACCGACAGGCGGCGGGGAGAGCCGATAGATGGAGGAAGAGGATGGGAAGGAGGATCGGAGGGGGACGAGGAAGAAGACACAGGAGACATGACAGACCGGGTTGAAAGAAGGGGAACCCCAGACAGAGGACCAGGAGGGGGACCCCTCGGGAAAGAACTCAAAGGAACAGAGGAGGGGGGCAGTGGTCGTATCAGGGTCAAAGGCCCGGAAACGGTTGAGAGTCTGAGGAAGGGGGGAAGGACGAGGAGAGGAAGAGCGCAACACGCGAGCATAAGAGATGTTAGTATAAGGCGGGAGCCGGCGAACCCGGCGCCTCGCCTCAGGAAAAGACAAACGCTCCCGGTACTTCAGGTTAAGGACGGCCGCCTCAAGCTTGTAATGGACACAGGCACGGGAGAACGTAGGATGGGCCTCACCGCAGTTGAGGCAGCGAGCTTGGGGAGAAGTGCACTCCGACTTAGAGTGACCTTCACTCCCACACAAAGGACAGAGAGAGACAGTCCCAGAGCAGCGGAGGGCACCATGCCCAAACCTCCAGCACTTATTACAAAGTCGAGGAGAAGGAATATACTCCTGGACAGAGCACCTAGCACCAGCAAGAATGACAGAGGATGGAAGGGTCCTACCATCAAAGGTGATCTTCACAACGCGAAGGGGTTGACGGCGACGACCACGAGGGGGACGAGTAAACGAGTCAACCTGGAGGACAGAATGGCCTTGGGCATCAAGGATATGCCGAATATCATCGTGGCAATCCTGCAGATTCCGAACACCGGTTGCAACATGGGGTGGGAGGAGAATAGTGCCAACACTGGAATTCATCTGAACGTTCTTGGAGACCCGAACAGGGATCTCGCCAAGGCAAGATAAGGCAGCCAAGCGGGAAGCCGCATCCTGAGAAGGAGCAGCAACGACACGTGTATCGAGACGAGTGGGGTTGAAAGTAACACACGCATCCACGGAATCTACAAGATGCCGATGGAGGGAGAAATCGTCAGGAGGCGCAGAATCAAGAGGGAGGAGATCAAAGTATTTGGCCCATGAAGCAGGACCAAACAAGGCTTGATACACATCAGCACGGGAAGGAATCGAGCGAGTGCGGTTGGGGCGCGAACGGCGTTGAGAACCCCTAGAGAGGGAGGGGTCAAAATGCGCAGTAGTCACAACGAAAGACTTAGCCACACCAGGGGACGAAGTGGTCACCACCGGGGGCTGGAGGCTCGACCCAACCTCAGAGGAGGGAGGGGAGCTGGGGGAAGAAGTCAGGACGGTCAAAGGAGGAGCAAGGTCGGGGCCCAACGCAGCGGGAGCTACAGAGCCTGGTCTTCCAATACAGGCCGACTCGGGGGCTTGGTCGCCCACCCCACGAGCCTGAGAGGGTACAACGGAAACATTCAACGACATAGAGACGAAAAGTGACAAATTCATCCACGAATGTGCCCCCATACCCACCATGGAGCCACAATTAGAGGCAGGACACCCAACAGGAAGCTATCGCCGATCATGCCGGGGCCCCCTAGGGGTGCGTCGTGAGTATACGCCCCACAAACGCCACCTTAAGAACCGTCAGCCCGTCGAGATCGGGTTCAGCGACGAAAGGGGGATTGACAATAAAAGGTTCCCCTCGCTCGAGACGTCGGGTACTACAGTTCTACGGGTGCAAGAGTATGCCTCCTCAAGCTCCCGGGCATCAAAATAGAAGAAGTCCAAAGAAATAATCCAAAACAAGCAAAAGGTCGGCAGGAAACGACAAGCAGATAGGAGAAGAGGGGGGAGAAAAACGAAACATAAGGAAAAGGAAAAGCGATCCGGCACAATTGGAGAAGACAGCAGCAGGAGTGCAAGGCCAGAAAAGGACAGAGGACTGCCCAACGGAGCATCACACTCCGGCAGCCGTCCACCAAGCCCCCTCACGACGCCAACGGGCCGGAAGGGGAGGGGGTGAGTGGAGTGTAAACAACGCCTGAAGCCAGAAGCCAAGCAATTAAACACCACCATTCCAATATCAATAGTGAACAACACTACACGCTCTGGCCCTACAAGCGGGATAAAGTCTTAGTGCTATAAGATAGAGCTCCGTACCTGCATCTAACTAAAATAAGGGAAGGATGATGGTGTAGTAATTGCAGATGGATCCTATGTCTTTTTGTGCCACTAACCCCATTAATATTGCAGGTGCGGTTATCACCATGAGCTTATGACCTCACCTCGGTAAATAGATTACTTACCATTAAATTAAAACCATATTAACTAAGTTAATCAGTGTTTGACAAATATTTGATATATTGCAATTACTTAAAGACAAATTAAAGAATACATTTGCAATAGATAAATTCATATCACTACATAATCTTGTCATTGTTTATAATAATTCATATATGGCAAGATGGCAGATCAAAAGAATAAGTTAAAATAATTTGTAACCGTATCAGTGCTAGCTGCATTATACATGTTACTCTTTAGCAAGTGGTAAGTGGAGATTTTCTCATTCAACAGGTAAATGAGAGCAGGCCCATTTCTGTTGGATCACTCTGAAAACTGAGCCAGTTAGGGAACATAAAATAGATACAGTCCACTACTCCAAGATGAAACACAGTTTCCCAGTGGCTAGTTAGTTCCTAATTTTAAGGAGTTAGAAGTTAAAAGAAATCCCTCAGGTATGGTGTCTGTTGTGGTTCATAAGATATGATGCCTTTCGTGATTCAGAGCATATGATATCAGTTGTCGTTCAGTGAATATGGTGTCTGTTGTGGCTCAGTGGATAAGGTGTCTGTTGTGGCTTAGAGGGTGTGGTGCCTGTTGTGGCTTAGAGGGTATGGTGTATGTTGAGGATCACAAAATATCTTACCAATTATGGTTCAGAGAATATCGTGTCTTTAGCGGCTCAGAGGATATTATATTAGTTGTGGCACAGTGAATATGGTGCCTGTTGTGGTTCAGAAGACATGATAGGTAGTGTGTCAAAAGATATGGTGTCTTTTGAACCTCAGCGGACATGGTGACCGCTGTGGCTCGGAAAATATGGTGTCTGTTGTTCCTCAGAGAATATAGTGCCTCATGTGGCTTAAAGGATGTGAAGTCCTTTTTGGTTTAGATGGTGAGATATCTGTTGTGGCTCAGATGGTATAATGTTTGTTGTGACTCAGATGGTATAATGTTTGTTGTTACTCTGATGGAATAATGTTTGTTGTGGCTCAGGTGTTAAAATATTTGTAGTGTCTCAGCTGGTATAATGTTTGTTGCGGCTCAGATGGTATAATGTTTGTTGTGGCTCAGATGGTATAATGTTTGTTGTGGCTCAGATGGTATAATGTTTGTTGTGGTTCGGATGGTATAATGTTTGTTGTGGCTCAGATGGTATAATGTTTGTTGTGGCTCAGATGGTATAATGTTTGTTGTGGCTCTGATGGTATAATGTTTGTTGTGGTTCGGATGGTATAATGTTTGTTGTTACTCTGATGGAATAATGTTTGTTGTGGCTCAGATGGTATAATGTTTGTTGTGGCTCAGATGGTATAATGTTTGTTGTGGCTCAGATGGTATAATGTTTGTTGTGGCTCAGATGGTATAATGTTTGTTGTGGCTCAGATGGTATAATGTTTGTTGTGGCTCAGATGGTATAATGTTTGTTGTGGCTCAGATGGTATAATGTTTGTTGTTACTCTGATGGAATAATGTTTGTTGTGGCTCAGATGGTATAATGTTTGTTGTGGCTCAGATGGTATAATGTTTGTTGTGGCTCAGATGGTATAATGTTTGATGTGGCTCAGATGGTATAATGTTTGTTGTGGCTCAGATAGTGTGATATCTGTTGTTGGATATTGTTTCACAAATGTCCGGTGATCGTAAAGTCCGGTGTCATACTGTGTATATTCTCGGTCAACATCAATGGTTGCAATTATTGTCTGCTGTTGCAGAGAGCGCAATGTGTTCAATGCTGTGTTTTGGCTCAGACGTTTTATCTTACAGTCGTGCAACGTTTTAACGAGAGGTAATGATGGTGGCTTCGTTCTGTGCTGGGTAGGTGTGTATGATGTCTATGCCTCGTGGAAGAGACATTGCATTCCGAAGTGGGAAAGTTAAGGGCCTGCTGATGATGCCTGGTTGGTGAGCAAGTATGGGATGGGAGTGCATCAAGTCATCATCCGGGATGGGAGAAGGTGTTTCCCTCCGACGGAAATACTCAGAAACTGTGTTGTAATCAATGGATGACCTATGGCTGCGGCGGTGGCAGGAGTGACTGAGGTGGTGAGGCCTGGGGCGTGCACCCCCCATACTGACGCCCCACATTGCGTACGCCTCAACCTGAGCCCGGACCACACTGTCCAGTGAGTCGTATATGCTCCTGTGGGAATCCTGGTGTTGGAGAGGAGGAAGAGTTCTTCCAACGTACAGACCAAGACGGGCAGCCAGGAGGCCCAGGTCCAGTAAATATACTACTGAGGATGTCTCCAGGTTTGCATAACATGCTGAGTCGTCGTCTTCCATGTCGTGCACAGCGGAGTGGTTATCACTGTTGTCGTCCAGCACAGAGTAATAGTTATCCCTGTTGTCGTCCAGCACGGCATAGCCTTGGTCTTCAATATTACTTATCTCCTCCCTCAGGGTCGCCACGTCGTAGTCTTCTTCAGAAAACTGCCATGAAAAAGCTTTTAGATCAATACTGATGATGAATAAGAACTTAATCCACACAACTTATATAAATCAACCTAACTATTATTATATCAAAACATTGCATTTCAGAAAGCTAAAAAGTAACCTGATAACTACTGACCTTCTTCTTCCAGCACGAGTTCATGAACATTCCCAGACCCGTGACGCATATGACTAAAAAAATCCGGATCAAACCCATAGGGTAACTGTATTTCTTCTCTGTAATAAGGGAAAGCGATCAGCACGTTTTAGATTATTGTAGCAAGTAATTAAAATTAGGATTAGAACCGTCATAAAAACATAAAAATAAAAGTAGCTGCAGAGGGCTCACTGGCCTATAGGAGGCACCTCCTTATAACATCCACCCAATCTCATTCACATGTATTTCTAATCTCCAATTGAAACAATCCAATTATTCCACATCTATTATGTTATGCGAAGACTTGTTTCTTAACTCAACAACTATATTTCCAAACCAGTATTTACCCGAGTTTTTCTTGGATCTAAAGTTTTCCTATTTAAATGCATTGTTTTGAGGTCTGGTTTCATGTTAGTAATTCATTGATTGACAGGGCGAGACACCTGTTATCTTACACGATCTTGATGTAATAGTGGTTGCTATCAGATATGTTATCGAGGAACATGCTTTGTCCATCCATTAAATGAGATTATCAGTGATTAATCGGTGATTAATTGAAATTATCAGTGTTAGGCATCAGTGTTTGTGGGGTGTAGTAGTTCCCTGATTGACAGGGCGAGACACCTGTTATCGTACATGACCTTGATGTAATATTGGTTGTTATCAGATGTGTTATCGAGGAACATGCTTTGTCCATTCATTAAATGAGATTATAAGTGGTTAATCGGTGATTAATTGAGATTATCAGTGTTAGGCATCAGTGTTTGTGGGGTGTAACCCTAATTGTGCTTACGTGGGGTTGAGCTTCAGTTCTTGGGCCCCGCTTCTCAGTGGATGAATGTTTTTTGTGTGTGCATGTGCGTGTGTGAGAGCTCACCTAGTTATACTCACTTCGGTGTTTGAGGGGCGTAACCCTAATTGTGCTTACGTGGGGTTGAGCTGCAGTTCCTTGGCCCCACCGCTCAGAGCATGAATTTACTCACCTAATTCACCTAATTGTGCTTGCGGGGGTTGAGCTTTGGCTCTTTGGTCCCGCCTCTCGACCGTCAATCAACTGGTGAACAAATTCCTGAGCCTACTGGGCTCTATCATATCTACATTTAAAACTGTGTATGGAGTCAGCCTCCACCACATCACTGCCTAATGCATTCCACCAGTTAACTACTCTGACACTGAAAAAGTTCTTTCTAACGTCTCTGTGGCTCATTTGGGTACTCAGTTTCCACCTGTGTCCCCTTGTTCACGTACCGCCAGTGCTGAATAGTTTATCCTTGTCTACCCTGTCAATACCCCTGAGGATTTTGTAGGTAGTGATGTGTGTGTGTATGTGTGTACTCACCTATTTGTGCTTGGGGGGTTGAGCTCTGGCTCTTTGGTCCCGCTTCTCAACTGTCAATAAACTAGTGTACAGGTTCCTGACCATACTGGGCTCTATCATATCTACACTTGTAACTGTGTATGGAATCAGCCTCCACAACATCACTGCCTAATGCATTCCATTTGTCAGCCACTGTGTGTGTGTGAGCTCACCTATTTGTAACCCTAACTGAACTTACGTGGGGTTGAGTTTCAGGTCTTGAATCCCGACTCTCAGCGGATCAGTGTGGGTGTGTGTGTGTACTCACCTATTTGTGCTTGCGGGGGTTGAGCTTTGGCTCTTTGGTCCCGCCTTCACAAACACAAACTGTGTGTGTGTGTGTGTGTGTGTGTATTCACCTAGTTGTGCTTGCGGGGGTTGAGCTCAGCTATTTCGGCCTACCTCTCCACTGTTACTAACTACTAAATTTTTCCACACCACACACACACCCCAGGAAGCAGCCCATGACAGCTGACTAACTCCCAGGTACCTATTTACTGCTAGGTAACAGGGGCATTAGAGTGAAAGAAACTCTGCCTATTGTTTCTCGCCGGCGTCCGGGATCGAACTCGGAACCACAGGAACACGCGTCTAGTGTGCTGTCCGATCAGCCACCGGCCACCGACACACTCACCACTGTGTGTGTGTGTGTGTGTATGAGCTCACCTAGTTGTATCCACCAGTTTGTAATTGTTGAGCTTTGGCTCTTTGGTCCCACCTCTCAATAGACAAACATGTTAAAAGTGTAGCGTAATTGTGCTTACGTGGATTGTGGCATCATTGTTTGAGGGGTGTAACCCTAATTGTTTCTTACGTGGGGTTGAGTTTCAGTTCTTGGGCCCCATCTCTCAGCGGGAAAAAATGCTTTTGTGAGTGTGTGTGTGTGTGTGTGCATGAGTAGTAGGGATGACGACTCACACACAATTTTTTTTTTTTAATATCGTGTTTGTGACGTCGGTTTTCCAGTAATTTAAAATATCATGTGTGAGGTGTCGGGGGTTCCAGGTAAACTCTACAGACAACTTTTGTTTGTTTTAAAAATCGCGCATTTTTCAAAGATCATTTTCGGATAAAGCGATCATAAATGTATATTAAGAGTTCTTATGAGGAAAATAATTTCATAGAAGTTTGTTAAGAGTTCTTATGGGGAAAATCCAAATTTTTCTGAGTTCAATTTTATGAAAATATTTCAGAGTTCATATTATCATAGGAGTTTATTTACAAATTTATGACCAAAATTTGTAAAAAAAATAAACATTTTCAGAGAATATGTTCATAGAAATTTTGTTAGGGAAAGTAGGCATCTTAGCTGTGACTTTTAGTTTGTATATCAATTTATGGCTGTTTTCACCTGTAAAGACCTAAATTGAACAGAGACCATTTTAAACACCGAAAATTATTCAGAGCCCATTTGAAGACCGATTTTCTTCAGAGTCCATATATGACCAAAAAATATGACAGAGACCATTTGAAGACCGAAATGAACCTAAATTTGACAGATTATTTTAGACCAAATAATTTCAAAGACCATATAAGACTGGAAAGAGACAAAGATTAGTTTAGACCCAAATATTGTCAGAGACCAGTAAAAGATCTAAATTATTCAGAGAAGAGTAGAAATCCGAAAATAGTCAGAGACCAGTAGAAATCCGAAAATAATCTGAGAACAGTTAAAAGACCAAAATTAGTCAGAGACCCGTTAAAAGACCAAAATTAGTCAGAGACCAGTTTATGCCAAAAATCAGTCAAAGTCCATTTCATCACCAGAAATGCATCAGAGTCCAGTAAAGACAGAAAATTAATCAAAGACCATTTTCATCCCAATTTTCTTCACAGTCCAGTAAAAGACCTAAATTATTCAGAGTCCAGTAGAAATCTGAAATAGTCAGCGTCCAGTAAAAGACCTAAATTATTCAGAGTCCAGTAGAAATCCGAAAATAGTCAGAGTCCATATAAGACCGAAAATTAGTCAGAGTCTACTTTGAGACCAAAATATGACAGAGTCCACTAAAAGACTCCAAATTAGTCTGAGTCCACTTTAAGACCGAAATATAACAGAGTCCAGTTTCAGACCAATTTTCATGAGAGTTCACTTTTATGACAGAAATTAATCAGAGTCCACTTTGAGACCAAAATATTTCAGAGTTTTACTTACACCTGAGTTATATCTTATATCTGAGTAAATATCTTTGTTAGTAACTGATCAATTTCTCTGAAATTCAAACCCTCTGTATTTCAGACACTGTAAATAAGATCCAAACAATTATCGAGCTCCAGCTCCCATTCTCCACCTTAGATTACTCCTGTAAATTCACTACTATCAGACCAAATTCCCTAAGATTTTAAACCTCAACTACATTTCAGACTTCTGTAAAATAAATGGAAAACAAATTACCGAGCTCCAACTCATGTCCTCTGCTTTAGTTCAATGTTCGTCAAACATAAATATTTCAGATCAAGGCCCTCTCCAGTCTATAAAATTAAACATATCCTATCCTTTAATACTCTTTTGTACTCAGCTATATAAATAATCACTAACAAGCTAATATTCACAAAGTAATAAAATCCACATGGTCAGATGACACCTTACCTTCAATCCCCTTTGTTTACTCAACTAATCAATAATCACACGGTCAGAAATCACACCTTACCTTTTCCCTCCCTCCCCTTCCCATACCTTACCCTCACCCCTCCTTACCTTCACATCCCTTACCTTCCCCGACTCCCTTTCGCCCTTATCTCCCCACACCTTTTGCTCCCCCTTTACCTCCCCAACTTCCTCTTCATCTCGCTCATTCCCCAACTTATCCAGACCTTCAATAATCCTACTGTATTTGTATATTTTCTCTATTTCTCTATTTTCTCTATATTGCATGATAACCACCTACAAAATTTTCAGGGGAATTGACAGGGTGGACAAAGACAAATTCTTCAGCACGGGTGAAACACGAACAAGGGGAAACAGGTGGAAACTGAGTACCAAAATGAACCACAGAGACATTAGAAAGAATTTTTTTCAGTGTCAGAGTAGTTAGTAAATGGAATGCACTAGGCAGTGATATTGTGGAGGCTGACTCAATACATAGTTTCAAATGTAGATATGATAGAGCCCAGTAGGCTCGGGAATCTGTACACCAGTTAATTGACAGTTGAGAGGCGGGACCAAAGAGACAAAGCTCAACCCCCGCAAGCACAAATAGGTGAGTACAGTCTGTCTGTCTGTCTCTCTCTTCCTCTCTCTCTCTCGCCCTCCCTCCCTCTGTTGGGAAGAAAGCTTACTCTCTATTTATTGATTTAAGTTTAATTAATAGATTAATTTAAATTAATCGAAAGACCACCCTATTTTTACTGAAAAGGGAAACAGATAAGACAATAATGGATAAGGACTGATATACCAGAGCCTATGGATAGTGAAACTAGTAAGAGTTATTCTTTAAACCTTTGTGGGCTGTATAATATATTAATGTTCAAGAATAAACTTTCCGTCTATTACACAATGGGGGGTTAATACCAGGAGTAAAATACTTCCAGTACGCTTCATCGAGGCTGGTTCTTCCTCGAATAGAATTAGTAATTCCTACTAAATTATATGCAAATAAACATTAAATAGATTGGTTAGTGACAAGAAGATTATATGATGGTTAAACAAGAAATCATTCTCATTTGAATTTTATGAGGCTATCAAATTGCGCTATAAGTCTCAAATCATATAAATGAAATATT